GTGACTTATTTAGAATGAATATAATCGAATTTGATGGCCCAAATTGGCATCATTATTATATATCAATCTGAAACTCACAGAATATCATTGGATATCAGATATGAATGATTAAATATTGCATTTTATTTTAAACTTTTCAAAGGATTAGTGAATGCAACATGGGGTTGGTACGCAAATAAGTTTCGGGTCAAAAGCCTTAAGAGTTTAGTCCAATCAATCAAATAAACGTTATTTCAGTTAACTTTAGCAAAAGATAATTTTAAATTCTGTGATCTCTGATTTTTCTTTCGAATCGTGGTGGACCCATTTGGTAAGAATTAAGTTTACGAATAAAACAAAATTTAGCATATCAGAAAAGGTTTTTCTTTGCTAAAATAATATGAAATTTAGATGTATCATGTAAAGATTGTTAAAACATCTTATCAAAATAAATTTATATTTAAATTTGTTTGTAAGGTCTTGAGTATTTGCTTTATTTAAATTTGTTTATAAGGTTTTGTTTATTTAATATAAATTATAACTTGATGTCAATTAAAACGTTAATATGGAGTTAATTTTAACTTTTTAAACATGAATTATAATTTTTGTTGTTGCAAACTATAAAAATTAAGAATAAACATCTTAATTACAAAAATAAAACAAGATCATTATGAGAAATAATTAAAGGCTTAAGATAACAAAAATTATATCATTAGTATAACTTGCCTAATTCAAGATGAAGTAATGATGGTCTATGAAGATTTTGCAACTTAAAATGTTCGATTTCAAATTAAATAAAAATTTATTTTAGGCTTTACTGTATAATAAAACTATAGAAGATGGGAATGATTGTATTAAGATCTTAAGATCCTAAGATCCTACCATAGATCTTGTTTCAAATAAATCCTACTAAGATTGAGATTATTTTTGGCTTGTAGGATCTTAAAATCCGAAGACCATAAGATCAAGATTTAGATCTTAACAACCATTAAAACCATCTTTAATAATAAAACTACATAATACTATCACTTTATTAATTTTAACGTTTAATATTATAGGATAATTTCGTTTATATCCGTATAAATTTAAATAATTATGTATGTATCATTGTAAAACTTTAATAATTTTGAAGTAATTTATGCATATCTATATAAAATATTCTACAAAACTGCCTCATTCAATTAAATTAGTACCGAGCTATAAAGTAAGAGAAATCATCTAATAATATATACCCTTTAATTGTTCTTGTATTAATGACACTAAGTGTTTTTTTTTTTTTTTTTTTTTTATAAACTCTTTACGGATTGATTTTTTTTTTTTTTTTTTTTTTGAGTTTTATTGCTTTATTATTTTGTTATTTTTACAAACAATTATATATATATAATATATATATATATATATATATATATATATATATATATATATATATATATATATATATAGGGTAAAGTGAATATACCTAACAACCTTATATAAGCTTAGGTACCTAACTCCATAATACTACATCGGTTTGTATCATATTTATAATGTAATTGCCTAAGGTTCTTAAACTTCAACCCCATAACTTGATTACTTCCAAAATCTTTGAACTTTCACCAATATCTTTCTTTTACATCACGTCTTTCTATCGAATACCACCTGATGGGCTTCATATCCTACCGCTACAAATGAAAGGATGTAGGAGAAATATAATGATGAATTTCCAAAAATTTTTGAAGTAAATCAAGTTTAGGGATGAAGTTTAAGAACCTTGGATAATTGCAATGAAAATTTAATGTAAAATGACTTAATTTGATGAGGTTAGGTACCTAAGCTTATATAAGGTTGTTAAGTATATTCACTTTACCCATATATATATATATATATATATATATATATATATATATATATATATATATATATATATAGTGTTGCAAAACTCGGCATACTTGGCCGATTACTCGGAATCGGCCCTCCACCGAGGCGTGTAATGTTAACTCGGCCAAAAAACTCGGATTTAGTCAAAATTGGTCAAACTCGGTCAAAAATTGGACAAACTCGGTCAAACTCGAGCCTACTCGGTCAAACTCGGCCAACTCGGTCAAAATCGGTCAAACTCGATGAAAGGGTCAAATTTGTCATAAAAAGAGAAAAAAATCAAGAATTTGAAGATTAATATGTATAATGCACTTAATGATTTATTATTTAACACAAACATGTGATTATTACTACATATATATGTTAAATTTTCAGTAATTATCCACGTAGTAAGACAATTATGTGTATTTCAGTTTTTATGTATTCATATGTATATAATTTTGGTTATATATTTCAATCAAATTATGATTTTAACTTATGATTTTGACATATATAATTTTCCAAAAAATATTTCTACATGAATTACCGAATCCGAGTACTCCCCGAGTACTCGCTACTCCCTGGTCGGCCGAGCAGGTACCGAGTAGCGAGTTCTACAACCTTGTATATATATATATATATATATATATATATATATATATATATATATATATATATATATATATATTGTTGTGTACTCGAGTTGTTCTCATTTCAACCCTATCGCCACTTTGTGTTGATTCTCTTTGTGAGAATCATTTCTTAGTGAAAACATCTTTGTGATAACTTTGTTATTTGTTCTTTCTTGTTTGTATCCGATCTACGAACCTTCAAGTCGTATTAGAGCAGGTTTTATGATACATTCAAAATATCATGTATTCTTCATCCCAATACCATCCTAAATCCTCAGTAGCAAACAATATTCTTTTGTTATGAAAATAATTTTGTCATGTGGAAGACAAAAGCCTTGGTTGTTCTTGAAACCATGGACTATGACATGCTCGACATTGTTAATCATGGTCAACACGCTCCTGTATATGGACCCATGGTTGACAATACACCCACTAACGGATTAAAGCTGAAACCAAAGACATGGTATAATGAAGAAGAAAAAAGACTCATAAGTCTAAATGTGAAAGCAAGGTCTGCCATTGGCAACTGTCTTCGTTATAACATTTATCACCTAGTTCAGAACCATGAATCTACACATGAAATGATGGAGACGCTGACAGTTGCCTACGAAGGCATTGTAGAAGTTCAAGAAAATATTCTCAAAATCCCACTCCGATCATATCCATCTTCTCTAAAGTTATGTTGCTTTCGATTAAAGTTCTTCACAGACTTCATCAATAGTTCGAGTTCTCTTTGCTTTCATTCTTGCTACATATTTTCTAAAGGCTCCAAATACCTCAGATACTCCAATTGTTATTCAAGCTAACAATATCGCCTTCACAAATGCCATTCCACTACAACATCAGAATTCGGGCCTTGAAGACTTCAGTAAATATTTGAATTGTTGCCCTCTTTGCTATGCTCTAAGTGATATTCCATAACCCTTCTTCGCAAAGCAAGTATATAAGATCTAGTACTCATGTACTTTTGATGCATATGCTCAAACAATCTCTGGAACTATCAGAGATGGTCATTCACGAATCAAAATATCTCCAATGCTCATACATCAAGTTCTACGTCTCCCTTGTTCATACGCATATGACGAGACTCCTTATGAAGTCTGATGTATATCAATTCTTCTATAAATTGGGTATGACCTCTCTCTCTCTCTCTCTCTCTCTCTCTCTCTCTCTCTTCAGGGTAAACAAGACCCTGGAAAATATATTTTTCGCTAGTGCCTTAATGATGGATGGAAGTATGTGACGGGGGTCATAGGGAAATGTCTTGGACACAAAAATGGTAGCTTGGACCAATTGAATTTGTTTGAGTTAAGAATTCTTATGCCATCCTTCATCACCAAAACCTAGATTTTGCTCAACTATTCTTCAATCAGATAGTGGAATGTATCAGCAACAATAAGCATCCAACTTACATAACATATCAACGCTAGATTGCTCTTATTTTGGATCATGTTGGAATGGGTTATAACATCAATCACAAGGCATCTATTCCAACTCCGATTCTTTCCTAAAAAATAATCAATGAAGGACCTGAAGAAGGAGATATTCACTTATTTCAGCGGATGCTTTTTTGGATAGAGCATCTGTATAATTATGAGGATGTAGAAGATGAAGTAGATGAGGATGAAGAATCCTAAAATTCTTCCACCCAAGGTGAAGATGAAGAATAAGATACCAATAAATCCTTCAGTGACTGGGTGACAAATCGGGTCATCGTGTCGTGTTTTTGTCTGACACGACACGACACGACAAGGTTTTATGTAACACGAACATGACACGACACGATCTCGGATTTTTTTTTTTAACTAACACGAAAACGAATCGATTAAAAAACGACAAACACGACATGACACGACAAAGATAACATGAAATGATAATTAATGTATTTAATTAATATTTATTCATATATGACATGAAAAACACGACAAAAAATGTTAAATCGTGTCAATTTCGTGTCAAATTTTGAACACGAACACGAAACGACACGACGTCGTGTTTTTTACACCTGACACGAACACGAATTCGAATTTTAATTTCGTCTCAATTTCATTTCGTGTCTTGTATTTTTATCGTGTCGTGTCATCAATTGCCACCCCTAATCTTCTCCTTACAACAGTGCATATATTAATGTGGTTCCTATTCCCCGATCAAGAAACATAGATTATTGCTCCCACTCCTATTTAGTTTTCACTTGGAGAGAATGAAGAAGAAGCTAAAGGTCATATATCCGACTCTCCGATTTCAGCCAAGGTATCTCCTCCAAGATCAAACAAACACATTCGTTTCTACTCTTTATCTATATCCCATTCTCCCGAAACCTATTTCACAGCGTTGGTCGACTCATCATACTGATACTACTATTCCCCTTCACGTTGGTGCTACTCCTCCACGGTCATCCCCACTTCATGTTGGTACTAATTTAAACTGTCCTCACCTCTTCAAGTTGCTGCTACTTTTTAGGGGGAGTCAATTTTACATGATTTTCAATCAACGATACTTTCGAAGCTTAAACTATTGGTGAACTTGACTAAGTAATTGAGATAACGTCTGGGCATGCTTGAGGCTGATGTGTCTCCCATCAAACGAATATTATTTATGGTTGATGACACTGAAGATATTATTGATTCTCCCTCCCACTCTCATCATGATGACCACCCTCCACCACTAACTCCACCTATTGGGAACATTCCTCAAGCTTTATTTCAACCTCTTCCACCTTTAAATCCTCCCCCTCCAATTCCCCCTGCACCTATCAACACTCCTCCAAAGTCTCCACTAGGGTCTCTTCCGCATGTTGATGTTGCCAAAAAATAGTTAGAATGATAAAGAAATAGCAGTACACATTGATAATTTTGAAGATGGTGTCGATCAGCCTAATACTGATTATGATGAAGGTTTTCTAGATATGAACTTCATGTCACGAGTTATGCCTCTTAACATTATTTATCCAGAAGCTATTCCTAAGGGGGAGGTTCCTCAAGGCGCTGATAATGATGTTTAGTCTCACGATGATCATGAAAGATCTTGTATGCTCAAGAGTCATATTAAAATAATTGTTAATTAACATATGATACTAATGGGTCACACTGACAACTTGATACAATTGATTATTTATTAGAAATTGATTTTAATAAATATTCAATAAACTCTTATCGTTAATTGAAAATTATTTATTTCTTAGAAATAATAATTTTCATTAGTATGTAATATAATATATCATATGATATGATTTATTAAGTCATGTACATTATCTTGGACTAGAAAGACTTTTTTTTTCCTTTAGCCACAAGCAAAATTTTATATTTTATAAAAGAAGTATACAAAATTTATAAACTTCTCTTCTTTTATATCTTTAGAAAGAATAAAAGAATTATGGACTTTTGATTTCTTTAATTGAAGCATGGCTAGTTCTTAAAGGCATGGGGGACAAGTTCCTTTAATGACATGAGTGCATAATTGGTTAAGGATTCATATGTGTTGTTTTAGCTTTAAGAGAGTGCATGAAAGGCATTCATTTTTGACCCTTTTACATGCCAAAGCTAGGAGTATGCTTGGCAAAGTCATTCTCTCTTCTTTTTGCTTTTACAATTGAATGAACACTCACATTTTTCTCTCATTAAGTTCATACTTTGGTTAAAGATTAATAGTTTTAAGAGTTTTCCAAGACTAGAATCTTAAATCAAGTTGAGATCTTGTTGGTGTCGCAAAGGTTTCCACATTCTCCATCAATTTACAAGTCTCCTAAGAGGACCTAAAGAACTAAAAGGTTATCATTTCTTCATTTTCTTCTTTGGTTGTGATTTTATCATTCGATTACTTGCAAGATGATCCTTGGTCGGTGTTATTTGTTATGATGTTTTTGAAAAACACAAGTGTTCTGTTTGCCATTTTACTAGTTTATTAAACTAATTTTGAAGAATATGGGTAACTTGTTTTTTGTATAAAAATAAGTCCATAAATATTTTCTTTGACAACTTTTTCATTGTTATTTTATATGAAAAAAAATTACATGCATTTTTTGTCACTAATAGTTGTCTTAGAAAAACAAGAGTTGTTTTATGTTTATATGTATTTTAGAGTGCATAAACAAGCATTGGACCATATGTGTTATTGTTTGTGTGATTTGGTTAAAAATGGTTTGTAGTATTCTTCTATTCATAAGTAATAAAAGTAGCTAGTTTTTATGCTTGTTATTTTTCTGTAATAGATTAGTTTTAAACTAGATTTAAATAAAATATGTAACAAGATGAAGACAGAGGCCATTTCTTGAAGAACCATGGAGACCTACGGTTTTATGAACATTTTATAAAAGTTCATAATTTATAAAATCTTTATAAAATTGCAACAAAGTTGGCTGTTATTGCAAGTGCAAGCTTGAAGGTCACATGAAGAAAAAGTTGCTTTATTTGGTCCCTTTGTCACTTAGGAAGAACTTAACACTTTTGTTTTGGCTCACAAAAGTGTTAACTAGATCAAAGCTTGCTTATGTTAAATGCATGCTTGTGTTGTTTATTTTTCAAGTAAATATTTTGTGTGGTTGATAATTTAGCTTTTCACAAACTCAAACTATTTTTTGGACAAAATAAGCATCACATCGAGTTTGGTTTTCAATTTACGAAATGTGAACATAAGATGTAACAAGTCATAACTTTAAGATAAAAACCGGTTTTATTAAAACGTTAACAATGCCAAATTTTAAAATTGAAAAACTATAAGTCTAAAATGGTGATTATATAAACAAGTCAAACTCCATCATATTAATAATAAAAGGGAGTCTTATTAAGTAATAAATAAGGTTCTATATGGCTCAACATAAAACTTAATATTGGATATTATTGTTAAAATTGAACCGCATCAAAATATAAAACCATATTTTATATGTGAACCTTAAATGTGATTTTTTTTGGAAAATTGATACCAATGTTAATTGGATGCATGCAATTAGCATGATATCATATGTTTTTAAAACTAGAATTACAAAACATAAAACACCCTTTCAAACTTCAAATATATGCAATCCATTTTAAAGAATACTCGCACATCTCTTGTATACACTAGTTGGATAAATAATACCTAACCGCTTGTAACACTCATACATCAGGTATTTTCCTATTTGAACCGGAAATTTAATTATGTTGCAAATTGGTCCTTAAGCGAAGCGTAGTTGGGATGTACGCTTCACATAGCTAATTAAAAGAGACTCACGTGTTTATTTGAGTACGTTGGACATACTCACGAGTACGCTGGGCGTATGTGACAAATGAGAAAAACCCTAATTTTGGGTTTGAGCATTATTTAAGCATCCTTATCCCCTCAAACCCCTTTCCTTCATCAGCCTCCATCTCCCAAAACGTCCCTTGCTAACCCTAATCCGTTATGTGAACATTTTTTTAGCTTCAGAGTGTGTATTTGTGCTCTTGAAGGAAAAAGAAGGTAGTGGAATCATCTTGGAAGCTTCGAGCAATTATAGATCTAGAACTTCCACCTTACAAGCAACCTCCAAAAGGTATATAGTTAGAAACTTGATGAATGTCTTCCTTAGATCTTGTTAGTTCTTAAGTTTTATGCATTTTGGTCCCTAAGTTTTGGTATTCATGAGTATGGATTACTTTAAAACATAAGAGCTACCCTTTCAGACGTTTTTAGGTGCTAAGAACCATAAAAATGTGATATTGGTCCTTTTTTTCCCTGCATACAAGAGTTGTGGTGTTTGGTTTGAGTGTTGAGTTAGGATTTTGGTTTTTGGATCACTTATAGTCAAGGAAAATCATAAAGGTGGAAACTTTATGACTTAGAATGATATTTGGGTCAAGATCTAAACATTAGGTGTGAAATTATAATGGATTAAGCACTTAACAAGAAAAGGTAGAGTCAGGCTGAGTACGTTGGGTATACCAAGCTACGTGTACTAGCCAAGGGCCCCACATTTTGGATGGATCGTGACTACGCACAACATAGTGACTGAGTACGCAGGGCGTACTCGGTTTGTGTTAACTTTCCTTTAACTTTTGAATTTTTGACTTTGACTTTGACCAGGATTTTAACCAAGTTTTACTTAGGGATATTTTGGGTATTTTGAGTAGTAGTTTAAAGTTTAGGTCATTGTTTATGTTATATGTGACCGGTTGAGACAACAGTTGGAGCAGTGATATGTTTGGTTACATTTTAGAATGTGAGGTGAGTTTTGGTTATTGTACTCGTTGGTCGAAGACACCAATGCCAACCCACTAGGTTATGTATCCTAGTGTGAAGGATATTAGTATGTTGTAGTAATCCATCCTGATAGTTGTGGGCCCAAGGGTAATCCAGTTCAATGACTGTGGACCCAACATGCTTGTTTCTATACGTTATATTATGTGGGGTATTTTGGAGGAACTCACTAAGATTGGCTTACATATTAAGTGTTATGTTTCAGGTGGTTCTGATGATCAGGGCAAGGCAAAGGCGTGATCGTACACATCCTTTGGCGATATGTTTTGGAGATGTTATGATACTTTGATTCTGATATATTTGTATTAGATATTTGTTTATTGACTTGAGTTTTGATTGGGAGACAATGGTTTTACTTAAATTGAAAAATGAAACATTTTATCGTGATTTTTTGGATGTTACAAGTTGCAATAAGAGCCTTGGTTTGAGAGAATTGGATAAGCATTTGTATGATTCCAGACTCAAAATGAGGATCTGTAAAGTTTTGCAAAGTTGATTTCAAAATTGTTTTCAAAATTATATTTAAAAAAAATGTTTTCAAATGTAACAAAAGAAGGATGAGATGTGTACGATCAGCCGGAGCAAGAAAGTATACCCCAAGATAACCACACAATTATTTTTTTATGATGATTATGATAGAACTGCATGCTAGTAGTAGGCTAGGATCTTCAGGAATTACATGATAGAGTTGCCTGATGTGTGATGCTTGGTAGCCTAAGAGAATTTCTTGTATGTTAAATGGAATTGACATCATTACTGCAGTTTCTTAGTGTGTGCATCATATTTGTACATCACTAAGATTTTATAGCTTGAGAATTTTTAATTTAGCCTTATTTACTGTTCCTTGTCTGATTGTGGGCTTAAGGTTGAATCAAGTATTCGATTGTCTATGGAATCAAGCGTTATGTATGGATAACATGTACGAGCAGCTGCATGGTTGGTGGAAGTTTCAAGAGTGAGTGTGGTTGAAGTAGGCCAGCTTGTGGACTCATTAGCCCCTCTTGAGAGAGTGAATATAGGGTGTATGCATATCCTAGTTGTTGAGCTTTGCAATCGGGTAGTACGTGACGAACCCTTGAGATAAATACAGGTAGGTGTGGAAGGTAGTATCAGCCCGTACTACTGAAACCACAGGACCCGTACGCGTGACAAGGAAGTCACGAACATCGAGGGTGCAGTCGTTCAATAATGATTGAAATAGTATGAATTGTGGAATTTCTGATATATTTTTGGTTCATGTTTAATATGGTGTACATGAATGGATCTAATTTAGAAGCTGGAGGCTCAGAGAGGCCAGTTTTTCCAGACGATGACATTCGCGAGTTGATCACCACTGAGGTGGTTGATGCTATCCGGGGTGCCACCCTTAAGGTTTTTTGGTCTATCAAGACCGTGATGATTGATCTGTTCGATGAATGGTACGTTGTTGTGTCCGAGGCTACTATTGTTGCAACCACCGCAACTGTTGCTCCTACGGGGGTTTAAGGGAGAGGTTCATTCCAGTACCAGGATTTCCGCAACATGAAGCCACCCTAGAGTTTGATGGAGTCAAGGACCTGGTCATTTCTATGAGGTGTATATCAGATGTGGAGGACTGTTTATTCACCTTTTCCTCTCTAGAGGACTGGAAAGTCAAATACACCCTGAACCTTCTTCGACTAGGCGTGAAGGACTGGTGAAACCTGGTGACCAGTTCTTATACTCCTAAATAGAGGACTACTGTTACTTGGGAGTAGTTCTTATAGATGATTCATACTAGGTATGTTCCCCTGGTCGAGATGGAGAGGTTGG